GCAATGGCGCAATCTCGGCTCACCGCAACCTCAGCCTCCTGGGTTCAGGCAATTCTCCTGCCTCAGCCTCCTGAGTAGCTGGGATTACAGGCATGCGCCACCATGCTCAGCTAATTTTTTGTATTTTTAGTAGAGACGGGGTTTCACCATTTTGACCAGGATGGTCTCGATCTCTTGACCTCGTGATCCACCCGCCTTGGCCTCCCAAAGTGCTGGGATTACAGGCATGAGCCACCACGCCCGGCCCTACAACTCCTTTATCAGGAGGAGTGGCTCTCGCCCCAAGCCTGCCATACAGCGGGTATCTTTACGATACTGAACGCTGCCACCTGGGCCATGGATTCTTGTCCTGGTATATCTGCTTTCCCTTAAATCATGCTCTGCACTGTGTCTGTTCTAGGCATTCCTCCAATTATAAGCTGCTTATTCCTTAATTCATGCTCCGTACTGTGTCCACTCTAGGCATTCCTCCGATCATGAACTAAGATATAGGTATATATGTAGGGAAATATTCTTTACGCATTCATACTGTCAACTACTATATGATTATATACAGAGGATTATATAAAGGGAGGCTTCAAGCCCGATTTCTATAAACTAATATATGATTATGTAAAGGATTACATAAAAGGAAATAGCTGAGTAGTAACACTATAAAGTGAGATATTCCTCAAGCCCTAACTGTGCCAGGGTTCTGCTTAGCTCTCATTCCTTGGTGCCTATATGGGGGGTTACCCACAAGACTTCAACCACATTCCTCATGAAAAACCAGACAGCTAGAGTATCACTACAAATTTTTAAAAGATGACTGAGGATGGTGACAAGTGAGTTAGCAGACAGTGGCAACCTCTGGAAGACAGAATCTTCTCTGCTGGTTCCTGGGCCGCTGCTCTGAAAGTCCCAGAACACACACCTGGCCTCTCCTGCATCCCCACTGGCTGTGCCCTGCTCCTGCCCAGAGTGGAATCCGGCTCCCAGCTCGCAAGCAGCAACAAGCTGCCAGCTGGCCAAAATTTTTAATTAAAAAAAAAAAAAAAAAAATTAGCCGGGCGTGGTGGAGCATGCCTGTAATCCTAGCTACTCAGGAGGCTGAGGCAGGAGAATCGAATGAACCCAGGAGGTGGAGGCTGCAGTGAGCTGAGATTGCACCATTGCAATCCAGCCTGGGCAACAAGAGCGAGACTCCATCTCAAAAAAAAAATAAAGAGTTCACGTGCCTGCTGGGAGACAAAACTCTTAACATGACCAATAGTTTCTTCCACAGCAGAATATAGATGTTAGTGAACCAATGCTGGTGACAATGGGTATGGCACTTCTCAAATTATACCTAATGATTTGCCTCAAAATTTATACTTTGCTTTTCCTCAATCGAGCTGGTTTAGATATTTTATTACAATGCTTTCACCAGAACCTACAACAATGGCTTCTATTAACTGGAAACTGAAATTGATGTGGTCTCCTCATACCACAGGTCACATGTTGTCTGGTGACTGATCCTCACTCTCAAGAGGAGATGGGGTCGCTGGTATGCCACGGAGGCAGGAGGAGCAGCACTAGAACCCAGGAAGTCTCCTGGGCCACCTCATCATTCTCATGCCAGGGCAGAAGTTGATGGCAATGTACTGCATCACCTACAGACAATCCACCTACAGGCAGCGGCCTCAAGAACGAAAGCTTGCTTAACCCAACCGGGCCAAGAATCCTGGCCAGCTGAGGGGTCATGTGAAGGAAAGAAGGACCTGGAATAGGCAGTGGAGAAGGGAAATCATAAATGCCAATAAAGCGTCATCACCAGTTAGAAAAATGAGGATTGTACCTTCTAATGGTATTTCCCTTCTTGCTGTATTATATATAAATGAAGAAGTTTTAGCTATTGCGCTTTTCCTTCATTTCTTTTCCCTGCACAATTGCATCTCAAGTCTATCAGTGATACTTAACTTACAATTTAATTTAGTCTACACATTACAACAATGGGATAGGATGATGATGAAACTGACAGAAGAATGGAACATCACCTACAAAAGTTGGACTCTGGGCAAATACAATAAATGGGATTTTGAGATGCCCTGCTTTGGCGAAGGGATAAGTAATTTTGTTGTAGGAGAGATACTTGCATTTTGTTGGATGGCAGCATTTCCATTTGACTTTGAAAGCATTTCTGTGAATGCTGGGCAGCCTAAGAGATGGACTATAGCAGAGCAACCTTGGGCTACCCAGCATCTCATTCTTATTTGAGAGGAGGCCCACACACACTGAATCTTGGCATGAGGCTAGGCCTCCCACACTAGAAGCCACAGTAGAAACCAGAACGCTCTTTGCCTATTGGCAATTAGAACATAGGCACCTATCCTAGACTAGGCCAAGTAAATGGTCCTTCCTAAAACTTGAATCTTGAGTGAGAAGAGTTGAAAAATAATTCACGTCACCACCAAAGGAACTGACATGTACTCTAATCAGAGTACCAAAGCAGGATGGTTTAGCTGGTTTCTAACATTTCCAGGCCTGGTTCTCCAGCTTTGCTGGTGCAAGGATTATCTAGAGACAGCTCCAGGCCGACTTTTCCCACGCTCAGAAACACCAGAGGAAAGAAAGAGCCTTTCTCCCAACCTCATTCTCTAAAATCCCAGACAAGGGCTCAGATCATCTCAGGTTTGGTCATGTGCCCATCCCTGGGGAAATCTGAGAACAAGAGGGAGACTAGTTGGCCAGGCCTGAGCTCCACACCTCCCCTTCTCCACACCTATCCTGCCTTGGGAGGCCAGAGAAGTGTGGTGCTAAAGAACCAACTCACCCAGATGGTCTGCAGAGAATTCCTCAAAGGAAAGTCTTCCTGCCAGGCAAAAACAAAAGCTGCTCACAACACAAAACTACAGAACGTCAGAACCAAAGGAACGTTGGGATTCATTCATGCTATCCCCTCTCTTATAGATGAGGAAACCATACAGGGTAGAAAACGATCAATGCTCCAGCAGGCACTGTGACTCACACCTGTAATCCTAGCACTTCAGGACGCTGAGGTGAGAGAATCGCTTGAACTCGGGATCCATTCAAACCACCTGGGCAACATGCCGAAACCCCTTCTCTAACAAAAAAATACAGCCTCCCGAATAGTAGCCAAGTGTGGTGGCATACGCCCGTGGGAGGCTACTATTCGAGAGGCCTTAATTTTTCTTTCAAGCTCCCTTCATTTAGCTTTGGTGCCCTGGTTCTCTGCCTGACTTGTTCGCCTGTTTGGACTTTGTCCAGTTCTCTGTCCAGCAGGGGTGACTTGGCTGTGGAATTAGGTGACTTACCTGGAGGTCTTCTGTGTATAAATGCCTTTAGGTAGGCAGCAAATTCATGAAGGCTGACTGTTACTTAATGCACGAGTGGCACTGGGGGGATTTAAATTCTTATTAAAAAACAAAAGCAAACAAAGAAAACCTATCGATGCCCAAATAAAACCATCTGTGGACTAGCTGCTGCTGTTGTCAAAAGTTTGTGACCCCTGGGTTAGACAAAACCTCTGAGCTGTCCTGATAGGTCTGGAAAAACCAAACAAGTCCTTGTCTCCTAAACTACCTGGGACTCAAGAGCTCCATGGGAAAAAAACTGTACCCTGCACCCAGGAGGGGTTGACATTTACAGATACCTGTTTTACGAATTGGGGAGATATTCCGTGAAACCCAGATTGCTGAAAGTGCTGCTGAGAGAAAATCATAAGAAAGGAGGACCCCTTCCCCATGCCAGCTGGTGCTAGTTCCTCTATGCCTCCGGATTCTGCTGAGCAGTAAAAGCTAAAGGGTGGTATCATTAAGCTCCTAGGGGATGGAATGCGGTGGCTCACGCCTGTAACCCCAGCACTTTGGGAGGCCAAGGCAGAAGGATCCTCGGAGTCCAGGAGTTCAAGCCCAGCCTGGGCAACACAGAAAGACCCCATCTCTGCAAAATATATAGATATATAGATATAGATATATGAAAGCTCCTAGGTCTCATGCTGGCGGGGGAGGGAGTGTGCATCCTGGCCTCCCACAGGCTGACTCTCACTTCCCTCCGACTCCATCACCGATTTCCCATCAGAGCAGGCTGCTCGGAATCGCTAAGCAGCGCCCAGTTCATTTTCACGCTCTTCCCATCTTCTGCGAGCCACAATCTCACCACCCTCAAGGCTGTCCTCAACCACCCAGCCTGGGGAGCTCCCCTCTGCTGTGGCTCCCTGCCCCGTCTGGGGCACCTGTTCGGACTCCGGTCGCGCCGCGGGGTCTTGCTGACGCGAATGTAAACAGAAACACAGTGAAAGGCGGTGGGACCGCCTCCTGGCGGCGGCGCGTCGGGAATCTCAGTGCGTCCAGCGTAAAATGAACAAAGGTGCACATGACTCCCGGTGCGGCCTTTTGCGGGAAAGCGCGCTCCGCGGCACCCAGCCCTAAGCACCCCAGGATGACCCACCCTTGCACAACCCCGCTTGCAGCCAAGAGGCAAAGCTGAGGTCGGAGCTCCAAAAGCTACGGAGGACAGCCGGAAAAAAGTCCCGACTTCCCATAGGTCAAGACGAAGTAGGAGGCGGGCTCCTCTTGCAGGAGCGTCCACGTATTGGTCGAGCCCCGGACTGAGGGCTGAGATTGGCTGCGCGAGACTTCCGAAAGCTCTCCGGCGGAGGGAGAAGGGGCGGGAAGAAGGGCGTGGTCAGCTCGTCCAAAGGGCGTGGTTGGCGCTCGGTACCGCCCCGCGCGTTCCGGGCTGCAGTTGGAGGGCCGCGGTTGCTGTCTAGTACCCCTAGCTCGGGACCGCCGCATGGGGTTACTGAGGCCGCTCCGTACGTGCGAAGCGTTCGCGGTGTTGTAGGTAGGCCTGATCTCGCGCGCTGGTGCGGGTGTCCGGGTGCTTGCGGTGCTGGGGGCGGTGGCCCGGGCTAGACTGGCGCGTGCGGCTCGGCCCCCTCCGCCTCCTCTCTCTGATGTCTCTGGTGCCTGCGGGGCCCTCGGCCGTGCGGGCCGCCTTGCCTCGCGTCCCCGCCGGGAAGGGCACAAAGACTTCCTAAGGGTGGAAGGCGCCTCGTGCCTTCGCCTCCATCTTGCGGTCAGAACGGCGTGCGCGGTCGCGGCCAAGGGGTCGGGACCTAGGCCGGCGGCTGGGCTTGAGAATGCCTGAGAGCGGCGAGGGAGCGCGCGAGTTTGCGCATCTGGTGGTGGAGCAGCTGCGCTCCTAGTCAGCCTGGGCCTCGGGGGAGGTCACTTTCCTTCAGGCCTCTCCCGGGCGTGGGCTGTTTACCCGGCTCCCCAGTAACGCAGCTCGGGTCTCTCCCCCTGGAAAGATGGAGATCAGTGATGCCTTCTTATCGCCGTGGATGCAGCAGCCCCCAGATGCGGAGGGAAAAAATCAAGATGTCCCATTTTTTTGCCTCGGAGGGCTACCCTTTCTAACTGTCGTCACTAGAACAGTTCTCAGCAGCCCGGGACGAATGTCCAAAACCTTTGCCAGGCCCTTGATAATTAGTAGGTTGGGTTTGGTGTATTGTTTGTTACAAAAATGAGCGGAAACCTGCCAGGGCAGATTGGACCTCACTGGGAATTCTTCAGGACCACGAAGGGAGGTAGCGTTTGTATATACCCTAACAGTGCTCAGATCTAGGGTATGAAAAGTGTTGTGTTAAAGTGCATGGCAAAGGGCGTTGGGTCAGTTTGCCTTGAGTTTAGTTGAAGGAACTAGAAGCCACCATTTTTTTGTTCTCTTTCCCCTTTCCCACTCTCTGGGTCAGTTCTGGTCCACTTAGAAAACAAAACAACAACAGCAAAAAACCAAGGAATTCAGTTTCACCTCACTTCTTTTGCAAAGCTTTAAATAAAGCACTTCCCTACCCTGTGACTGATAACTCCTACCTGTTTTGGGCTACCTTCTACTGCCTCTATTTTTACACATCACACAGTATTGTGGTTTACCCATCCCCTAGCACAATGCATGGAACATAAAAGGCACTCAGTGATGGAAGGAAGTCAGAAGAAAACAAAATCAGCATGGTAGCCCAAAGGTGACACAGCAGAAACATTTATTTCTTTAACTTCTTGAGCTATTCTTACAGGCTAGGAAGGCAGCTAAGCTCAGGCTGGCTAAGTCAAACAGACTTTTGCTCTGCCATGTTGCTAACTCTGATTCAAAGTTTATTTTTTATTTATTTTTTTATTTTTTTAATGGACATGGGGTCTTGCCATGTTGTCCAGACTGGTCTTGAGCTCCTGGGCTCAAGCAATCCTCCTGTCTTGGCCTCCGAGTGCTGGGATTACAGGTGTATGATTTAACTTCTCTGTGCCTTGGTTTTCTCATCCTTAAAATGCAAGTAATAATAGTACCTACGCCGCCGTGTGTTTTGAGAATTAAATAAGATACTGATGTAAAGTGCCTACCATAGCTCCTGGCACAAAGAAAATGATCAGTAGCTGTTAGCTGTTAGCAGTTGTTAGGAGAAAAATAAACGGATGCTTGAATACACTCACCAATATGAAAATCTGTATAGTACTTGACCCTTCGGGATCTCTCTGCTTTTTCGTCCTTATCTGATCCCTTTTTTTGAGGCAGGGTCTTGCTCTGTCACCCAAGCTGGAGTGCAGTGGCATGATCTCAACTCACCGTGGCCTCGACTTCCTAGGGTCAAGAGTCCCTCTCACCTCAGCCTCCCAAGTAGCTGGGACCACAGGTGCACATCGTCATGCCCAGCTAATTTTCTATTTTGTTGTAGAGATGAGGTCTCTATATTGCTCAGGCTGGTCTCGAACTCCTGGGCTCAAGTGATCCTCCTGCCTTGGCTTCCCAAAGTGCTAGGATTACAAGTGTGAGCCATGGTGCCTGGCCCCTTAAGTGATGGCTGATTTTTTCTTTTCTTTTTCTTTTTTTGAGAGGGTGTTTTGCTCTTGTTGGCCAGGCCGGAGTGCAGTGGCACAATTTCAGATCACTGCGCTGCCTCCCGGGTTCAAGCAATTCTCCTGCCTCAGCCTCCCAAGTAGCTGGGATTACAGGCGCCCACCACCATGCCCGGCTAATTTTTGTATTTTTAGTAGAGACAGGATTTTTCATGTTGGCCAGCCTAGTCTTTAACTCCTGACCTCAGGTGATCCGCCCACCTTGGCCTCTCAAAGTGCTGGGATTACAGGCATAAGCCACTGCGCCCAGTCTGATGGCTGATTTTTAAGCATCCCTTTAGCCTTTCTTGATTCTTTTTCTACAGTGAAAGTATTCCATAGAAGATTGTCTGTTTATGTGTTTGGAGTCTCACCACCACCTAAAGATTGATTTGGTGCCAAATAACAATTTGGCCAAGAGTTACAGTAGTACTTGATAACACTCTTAATGGAGTCTGTTACTTGAAATGGTCATGTAAAAGGAGGCGCTAAATAGATTGGGGCCTTGTGTAGCTGACAAAAAATCTTTACATGGTTGATCCAGCCAGAGAGAAGCAGAGCTTATGGAGGTGGACTATCCTTATAACTTAAATCTATTCTCATGAAGAAACTGTCTTATCTTTAAAGTTGCTCGCAAACATTGTGAAAAGCAGGTGTTCGTGTTGGCTTTAGACCTATTTGCCAGATCTACAGATGTCAGATACAACCCCTGGGGGACACTGCATCACTTCCAGGTTTTCTTGTCCCACTTTCTGGTTACAGGAAACAGGTTAACTTACACATTTCCTTGTAGCTGTAAGCTCCCTTGGCATACCAGTTTCCAAAACAAATACCTTTCCCCTCCTCACTTATAACTGGCAAAGGAGAAATTCAGGTCTGTGATTCTGCTTTTAGGATAGCCACAGTGAATCTCAAATTCTTTTCTAGGGAATACTATTATTTCTGGGGACTCCTGTGGTATTCTGTAATTAGCCATTAAAAACCTGCCACAAGGTGTGAGCCTTTTCTAGTGTCCTGTTGCAAAGGCCATGAAGACAGGGACCATAAATTTTCTTCTTGTGTGTGGCTGGCACATAGGCACTTAAGGAATGGTTGTAAAACTATTTTAGTTGTTCCTTCTCAGGGTGCTGAAACAGCCTTGCTTACCAACCCAGTGCTTCTGAAACATTGCACTTACCAGGTCATCTGGAGATATTGCTAGAATGCAAGTTCTCATTCCAAGGTTCTGGGGTAGGACCTGAGAATCTGCATGCCCAACAAGCTCTGAGGTGATGCCCATGCTGCTGGTCCTGGATCGCACTTTGATAGTGAAGTACTAACCCTAGTATCTACGTTTGCTTTTTTTTTTTTTTTTTTTTTTTTTTTTTTGGAGACAGAGTTTCACTCTTGTTACCCAGGCTGGAGTGCAATGGCGCAATCTCGGCTCACCGCAACCTCCGCCTCCTGGGTTCAGGCAATTCTCCTGCCTCAACCTTCTGAGCAGCTGAGATTACAGGCACGCGCCAGCATGTCCAGCTAATGTTTTGTATTTTTAGTAGAGACAGGTTTCACCATGTTGACCAGGATGGTCTCGATCTCGACCTCGTGATCCACCCGCCTCGGCCTCCCAAAGTGCTGGGATTACAGGCTTGAGCCACCGCGCCCAGCCCTACGTTTGCTTTTTAGAAGTATTGGGCAAATCTTTTTTTGTTATGGTATTGGAATAAAATACTGGGTTTAGGAGCTTTTTTCTACTTTTTTTTTTTTGTTTCGTTTTAACAATTTCTCTATCTTGTTCCAAAAAAAAACTATTTGAGGAATCTTGCCGAGATACTTTGATGTAACAAAATTTTTAATAAAAGCAATTGAGGCACATGGGGTGAAAAAAAAATAGGAGAAAGTCAAGGGAGAGATTAGCACAAAAGACAAGTACGTCTCTGGCCTATGCATTTTACTCAGGTAAGATTGTGTATTTGGCCCTGAGTTTTGTAGCAGCCAAAGCAAAGAGGGATTTTTTTTTTAAAATCAGTTTTGCCAATACTAATAAAGTGAAAATTGCTGCTGAGTGGAGACAGCTGTTTCTGTTACTGAAGCCAGAGAATTCTCCTATGGGTTCTCCAAAGAGAATGCTATGGTACAGTCAGTGGCATTCTTAATTGTGTCTCTTGAGAGAATCAGTAAGATTCTTCTCAGCCTTCATATGTGTAGCCTGATGACCTCACAGAAAAGTGTCAGGGCCAGGCACTGTGGCTCATGCCTATAATCTCAGCATTTTGGGAGGCTAAGGAGGGAGGATTGCTTGAGTTCAGGAGTTTGAGGCCATCCTGGGTAACATGTGAGGCCTTGTCTCTTAAAAAGTAAATAAATGAATAAAAATAAGAACTGTTAGTATAGTAAAAGCAATGGTCTGTGGAAATGCACCCGTGTCCAGATACAGCCTCTTCTGACAGTGATTTTTGTTATAAGGAAGGTGTTTTTCTGCTTTGCTCTTTGGTGGGAAAAAGTGTGCAGTTGATTGACATATTTAGCCCTCAGCATCCTTGTATGTTAGCTTTGTTACACATGGACATTCTGCTGACTGCTGACAAGGCCAGAGAGCTTGGGGTTGAGGGGAGGAGTGACCTGGGAGCTCAGTCAAGCTCCTTGTAGATGTGGCAGTTACATCTTTTTAAAGGCTATCTAGGCTGTGTGCGGTGGCACACACCTGTAATCCCAGCAATTTGGGAGGCCAAGACAGGCGAATCACGTGAGGTCAGAAGTTTGGGACCAGCCTGGCTAACATGGTGAAACCCGTCTCTACCAAAAATACAAAAATTAGCCGGGCATGGTGGTGGGCTCCTGTAATCCCAGCTATGCAGGAAGGCTGAGGCAGGAGAATTGCTTGAACCCGGAAGGTGGAGGTTGCAGTGAGATAGCGCTACTGCACTCCAGCCTGGGTGACAGCAAGCAAAACTCCACCTCAAAATAAAAAAAAAAAAAAAAAAAAAAAAAAAAAAAAGGCTATATAAAGACCTTGCCCTGTAAATGAGAAGATTGGCCTTGCTGGGAAGCTGTCTGTTGGTCCTGGTCAGTCAGCCAATAGATAAGTGAGTGAGAAGGTGAGGGAACAGACAGCCAAGCAGCCTGGCCCACAGCCCTCCCTACCACATTGATCTAGAGGGACCCACTGGCTCCTCCTAGGTCCCTGGGAGACTCCTGTTCTGTTGACTCTAAGCAAAACTTCCAGAAGCAGCCCTGGGGAGAAAAGAAGGGGCTCCTGGTGCCCGAGGATCCTGGGGATGGCTCTGCCCATGGCCAAGCCACAGCAGACACAGTCCACCCTCCGTAGCTTTCAGCCTTTTCTTCAGTTTCACTTTACTTTGATTTTACCTGCAGAGAAGGGAGACAAAGTGCCCAGAGTGATCCACCCCACAGTGAAAGACAGGGCTGGTGTGGGTGACTGTGGGGCTCAGGGGACCTTCCAGGCAGGGCGGGAGCAGGTGGAGCAGCAGTTGCTCTTTGCTGCTGGCCTCCCAGTCTCAGACCTCCAGCCACAGTTTTCCTGGCACCCACCCCACCCTGAGGCAGGCCTCAGTCACCCCTTGTGACTGGCCCCTTTGTTGGCTTCCACTACATGTCTTTACCCCCTTTCATGCCGCCCCCTATGCCTGCTTGGCCTCTGCCTTTAAGCTCCTTTCTTCCATAAATCTAGTTTCCCCAGGGGTCTTCCGGCAACCTCTGC